TTATGGTGTGTTACGTCAGCAACCAAGCAGCTGCAATGGAATGGTGGCGTTAGTGAGGAGTTTATTCAATCCCGAGGAGTCCGACAAGGCGACCGAATTTCCCCCTATTTATTTGTTTTGTGCATTTAAATCCATGTAACATCCAAACAAAACCTGTTCATTCCAACAATCATTCCAAGAACCTGTTCTAACAAATCCAGCAACAAAATTCCAAGAATCACATGAGAACCATTCATTCAAACAAAATCCATGTAACATCTAAAAAATTCCAAGAACCACATGAGAACCAAAACAAATCCAACATTCAAACAAAATCCAAATAACATCTACACCAAAACCTGTTTGTCCACATTACTACCCAAAACACATCTAAGATAACATCCAATTGTTTCACAAACAAAACATGTCCAAAACAAATCTAAGTGAACATTCATTTTTTCACTTCTTTTTTCCATTCCCTTTCTTCATTTGCACTCCAGTTTGGCTTTCTTGAGAGAGGTTCATGAACTTTTTCCCACCTTCCACCACAATTGACTTGGAGCTGTTGGGCTTGGTACTGAATAATGGTCTGCTATATCCTCTTGTTATTGGTGGGGGTGCCCTTATATTGATCCTAGTCTGCAGAGGGTTAGTCACAGGTGGCTAATTTGAGGACATCTTCAGCTGCTCAAATGGAGAAGGACCTGGCTTCTGAGGCTGCACATACTGATATAGGTTGCTGTCTACCTGGCTTTCAATTGTTGCAATCAAATCCTGGTCTGAAATCACACTATCCATCAGATCCTCTTGGGTGGGTGGTAAAATCTTTGGATTTGTATTTTTCTTCTCTTGTTGTGCATTAAATGAATTCTCCACACCTCTTTTGGTAACCTGAAAAATATAAATAGTTATAGAGAATCTGGTTGTTAATGAGGAAACAAAATACATGATAAAAAATAAGAAAATATACTTGTGGCTGAGGCTGGTCATGTTCATAGGAGTCCATCTCAGTATAGTTATCAATTGCTGCCATCAACTCCTCATCTGAGATCACACTATTCATCAAATCATCTGCTGTGGGTGGTAAAATATTGGCATTTGCAAGAACATCCTGTTGTTGCTGTGGTGCATCACAAGACTTTCCAACCCCATCTGTGTTTTTCTTAGTAACCTAGCAATGTTGATAAGGAGCAATTAATTAAAAGATATATTTTGTTAGAAAAATATGTCATTTTATCTTTAACTTCTCCCTCCTGATAGGGATATTGGCATTGGCATTTGCTTCCTGTTGCTGTGGTGCATCTTCTGTGGTTCGTACAGTGACCTATACAATATACATAAGCATAAGAAATTTCTTAGAATGACCAATGTATTAAAAATACATGATTCTGTTAATAAAATAAAAGAAATGTAAGGACAAATTTAAATTTACCTTGCATCTGAGAGCATTGTGACATGCTTCATGGCATTTAGAACACCTCAAAGTTGTTTGTTGTTTCTTAAGCTTGTATGGACAAGTTGACCTCTTCCTTTTACCCCTCGGTTCATCAGGTTCTCTTCTTCTCAAAGAAGTCTGCCCCCATACAGATTGACCACTCATTGGCATGATTGCATTCTCATATGCCATTCTGTAGGACTCTACTGAGTAGAAAGGGCTCACAAAGTCAACTGGGTCTTCTTTTTGGTTGATAATGGCTCTAAGAGCATGTGAGCAAAGTATACCACTCAACTCCCATGCCCTACATGTACATGTTCTTTTGTCAAGAACCACAGCATATTGTCCTCCAGCAGGGCAAGAAATTTGATAATTGTTATCATCTGCCTTAATAGGAATGCACT